CGTACGACGAGATGGCTCGAGAAGCTCGTGAGGTACTGCAATCGCCAAATGGTGAGTCCTTTAGAAGAAAATTGAGGAAAATCGATTTGATAGAGTTACTTGGCTTGGATAATTGAGCTCGCTTCATCGTGTATTTGCAGGCTCTACAGGCTTTCTATTTTCCTTTTGGTGCTTCCAGTCTCGTCAGCTTGTTGTGGTGTGAACTAACGTGTAGTATAGGGATAACGGATACTGCAGCGGACGGTGTTTGTTGGCTTTTCTTGTGCATGGCATTGATGAGTTGCTCCTCGGTTTTATTGAGCTAACATTGTTCGTCTACATTGTTCTGTGTTCTTTATAACTGGTTCTAATTGTCGCATATGGTGCTGTCTCTTGTTTTTGTTGTTATTAGTTTTACCTTTTTGTTTGTTTGTTTGTTTTTCTGCTTTCTCAGTTGCTGGATCCTGAGCTGAAGTGTGTAATATCAGCCTGTTGCTTCTTTCCTTCTATGCTGACATGATTACTTGCTTTCTTGCCTTGTTCGGTGCTGCCTGCTCTTTCTAACTCCAGCCTTCTGTTGTCCTGCCAGTTTCCGACGAGTCGGTTCCACGTGGGAGGTTGGCATACCCGTGTGCCGAAGTGCCGACTCTGTTCTATGACTCCTATGGACGAGGCACCATGGCCAACTGGTGTGGATACNGGCTTCTTTTGATCTTGGGGTGTTAGTTGCCAGCGCTGCACTGCAACAGGGCTAAATTGACATCTATTTCGCCTCTTTTACCCTCCGTTTCTCATGTCGTCTGATCCAGCGGGCTGATATTATTCGACTTGGCCTTTTTAGTTTGTTTGTTATGGTCTAGCTTTTACCTTAAGCCCCGTTTTTCCTTTTAGGGTGTACTCTGTGAGTGTATAAATAAATAAATAAATAAATAAAATACACCTTCACAGGAACTCCCGCCTACTGACTGTTGCGTCCCTACACAGGAGGGGAATGCACATGAGGGTAACGCAACTGATATGGATAGAAGGATAAAGTCTTGGACGCTATTCAATCCCGTTTTTAAGGATGCGCCCTGCACTCGACTTCCAATCAGATTGTGGTGACGGTTTGAATGCGTATATGGCTTAAACAATGACTTGAGGTGTCCAGCAGATGAACGAGTCAGCGTTTTCGGCGTATCCGGTTCTGGTTTACCGACAGCGGAGTGGTGAAAGGCTTAGTTGGTCTGTATGGGTACAATCTGCCACTCGATCCGTGGACCATATGTGTGTGATAGTGCACCACTGCCACAACACCACGTCCGTCTTGGTAATGATAAGCGATGATAGCATTGGACCTACACTCATGAAGGTAGGGCCAATAGCTGATGTACTGTGGTAACTACGAACAATAGTAACCAAAACGTTTGTACCTTCACATTAGCAAAGCGAGGTGGGCAAAGTGGGCAGCATTAGACGGAAATTGATATTTCGAATTTTCCATGATATTATAATGCATTCTCTAAACAGAAAATGGGAACTCTCCAAAAAATGAGAGAAAGGCTCTTTCCAGAATAGGAACCCTCCAAAAATGGGAGAAAGGCTCTTTCCAGAAGGCCATATACGTATTCAATACGCCACTACGATTCTGAATGGATGTCCAGTGCGAGGGGCAGACGGGATAGATCGACGCCCTGGCTTCATCTTCTATTTCCAGTGAGAGTAAGGTGCTGACTAGGAATTCCAGGCTTTTTTTGTCATGAGTTTGAGATGAGGTCACCCACATATGTACGTGAGACCGCTCTTGATTTTAGAAGATAAGATAACGTTTATGTACACAACACATTTCCCTTCTGCCCTCTGAGCCAATGTCCGAAACGACAGCTTTAAATAAAAATAAGTGAGTTTATGAGTTTAACTGCGTTATTTTATGTGTGATAGTTGATGTTTATAGTCGTCCCTTAACCGATAATCTCCAGAAAGTTTAAGCTCCCTTGGAAGCTTCTGAGCCTCTGGGAATTTTGGGTTGTTATTGATTGTCCGTCACTGGTACTATCAGTCTGACCTCAGCACGTGTCTGAGCCGTTTGACATCAGCAAATTGGCTATTTTGAAATAATATTCCAGGAATGTCGGCTATAATTCAATACAGGACGATAACATTCAGTTCCATTGTCACGATGAACCAAGCAACGATAACAGTCGGAAATCTGCCGAAGGTATTACCTCATTGAGACCAATGGGACTCCCAAAAAAAAGAGCTAAATTGGATTTTTTAGCAAAACGAATTTTGTGGATATCTCTTGGAATATGTTTATTCTTTATGATATGTGAAGTTGTCGGGGGTGTATGGGCAAAATCTCTTGCCATCGTAACAGATGCTGCCCATTTGGTGAGCATTTACAGATTTGTTGATTTTTTTCTGTTTAAAAAGGTATGGCTGTAATGTCTACCCGTTCTTCCAAAACGTGCCACCAAACGTGCCTATGAAGTGTCAATGACAAGGTCCTGAATGGAAGGGTTACCATGACCAGGGTTGAGGTTGAGTATTAGTCGGTGTTACGCCATTACTGCATTCGTTCACCGGTTTCCGTATATAACATTGAATTAATTGCTCTGTGCGGGTCAGTCTTTTCTTAGGGTGCACCATGTATTCAGCTACTTCAAAATTACGCAGGCACTTGATTGTTTGGCTTCTACTATGATTAAGAAAGGATTTTGCTACCTGCATGGTAGACTCGTCCAGCGAATATCTAGCAATAGGAGTAATTGTATCGGAGTTGGGTCTTCCTACGTAAAGCCTGTCATAGCTCTGTAAACGAGTCAGTGGGTAGGGTCAAGTAAAACGAGAACGGTCGGAGCAGATGTTTCAACTTTCCTTTCCAATTCTCATTTGGTCGGTCGTGAAAAGTTTCTTACTTGACGGAGGAGAAGCTGCGATAATAGGGCAATGGTTCACGGTGTAACTTGGAACGAATGCCTATATCTCCTGAATCCGATGGAGACTATACAGGTATCTCATCCCCAAGACAGTCCCAGGAACTTTCAAAAATCCCTTCTAAGTTAGTTTTTGATTCCAGCTATTCCAATCGGATTTAATTAATACATAAAACTTTGTTCTTCTTTTTAGCTTACTGATTTCGCTTCAATGTTGATATCATTGTTTTCTGTTTATATCGCATCAAAGCCACCATCCCAAAGAATGAGCTTCGGCTTCCACAGAGCAGGTATAAGTCATTTACCATATTTTTCCAACTAATCCATTCTTCTCGGAGAGAGACTATTTCTACCCACCGATCTACCACTCCTTCCCAAACGCAGCATTTTAGAAGTTTTGGGAGCATTTTTCTCGGTGTTTTTGATTTGGATAGTTACCGGTGTTCTGGTAGTTCTGGCTATACTACGAATACTTAACGCCGACTACGAAATCGACGCTACTATCATGGCCATTACTGCTGGTATAGGAGTTTTCGTGAATCTTATGTGAGTTCCTGAAATCATCCCCCGGTATCCGGTACTGTACCGTTTTGAAAGGATTCTATGAGACGGTTTATTAAGCAGTTAGTGTTTCCTGAACTCTGTATCGCTGCCACACCCAATGATGGAATTTCAGAATGGGAGCACTACTATTCTTTGGAGGTCATGCTCATTCACATGGTGGTGGAGGCCATAGCCATGGTGGCAGTGTCGTCCCCACAGATAACTATGAAAGCTTCCCTGAGACAAGCGGTACGTTCTCGTGAATAATATGATTTTAATTGAAAATAGCTGGAAAACGGTGGAATTCTACAGTGGACCGTAATCCTTTGTATTATACGGAAGGAATGGGAAAGTGTAGCTGCACTTTGGTAATCGCCTTAGAAATCGCTTTTTTTGTTTTTTTGTGTAGCCCTTCCTTGCTAATCCTTTTCCTATCTATTTCTTGTTGTTTTTTTTTCTGAATCACAGGGTTTTCCTGATTTTTGATCCGATTTTTCTTTTCATATAGTTATAACGCTATAGCTATATCCATCGCAGGCTCATACTTGCCATGTGCCTTTTCTATGCCCTCATGAGACTTTTTTCGCTTACAAACGTCATCTGTAAAATAGCTCTTTTGTTTGAAGAAAAAAGTCTGATGTTCTAGTAGGAGGACAAAAAAAAACCCAAATCTTATATCTCACCTTTTCCTTCCCTTCCTGACTTTTTGAAAAGGGAAGTAGTTTTTGAAAGGATGGACTGTAAACATGAATTTTCAGACAGTGTTCATCTACTTGCCTCATTTGTGGTCTCTTAGATCTCGGGTTTTAAGCAAGAACCAGTTCGAAACTCGTCCCAGGGTAAATACGAGCCAATCTTTGAGCCTTCATAACGCCCTAACTAGGCCGTTTTCCGACATGGTAGCGCCAGACGTGGTATAGGAGGGGCCTCGAATTCATCCTATGGGGAAATCCCAGAACCACTTTTATCGTGAACTGTGCCTTTAAGCTGAATCATAAGTGCAAAGATGAATCATTCGTACATCCACGATGGTCTGAAAAAAATCGGGAATCTACTTTTTTTTGATATTGCGAACCAATAAACATTCACCTTGATTACACTACAATTTCCTGCCCTACTGTAAGTCATCGGTAGGGTGGCAAAAGTAGTCTGTTCGGAAGAAATCAGAAATTATTACCAGAAGCGATTTGGATTTACCCTTGCAGGCATATTTTAAATCAATTAGTATTACTTGCGGAAGACTTTTTTCTCGACATAGACTTTATCATAACAGCACTCTTTCATGAAATACAAACATTCAAGGAAAACACTCCGGTTCACCGAACATCAACGTCAGGGCGGCTTTCATACACGTGCTTGGCGATCTCGTTCAGAGTGTTGGTGTACTTGTAGCTGCACTCATCATCTTTTTCAACGTGAGAACAATTTTTCTTTGATATCCTCTTTTTCTATTACCTATTTACAACGTCGCCAACACAAATATACTTTGATTAGGAGTACCATTCAGGACCACGCTGGAAATAGTCATAATTGTGAAGGGGTATCATCACCGCAATTGAGGGAGTAATATAACACATAATCCTTACTTTACCAAATTGTGTAGCCTCCTAATTCACGCTTCGGCTCGATTGAATTAGTACAACTCCGTTTCTAAATTCTACCCTCTTAGCTGTGCGCCTTTGTCCTCTACCAAATCTCTTCAGCCTGTCTTCTCAGAGGATCGCAGGGTGATCTGAATCCCAATGTCAACTGAAAATTTCTAGTAAACTACTTTCAATAATATTTATTTATTTACGGACATGCTATGTATACGCATGTGAACTAGAAGGTGTCAATATTGACCATTTCTAACTAAACTAAACTATATAAAATCAACTTATTAATAGATTTCTTGAAAGTACGGTAACTAAGAGGGATGAGATTTCGACGTAAAAGAGAATTAAAACTTGACATAACTCTATTACTAAAAAAACTGCGACTTAATTTGAGTTCTTGCTGGCATGGTTGAAACCCTAGTTGAGGAACCTCTCGTATTAGAAAACACAATTGTGAAAAACTTAGAAACATCCTCAATAGTTATGCCATTCAAAATTTTGCATGCCATAAGAATATCGAATTTTTTCCCTCTCCATTCAAGAGATCTCACACCTAGAGTCTTATTACGCTCAGTTCCACTAGGTATTTCTTTATATTATTACCTGATTCCTCTTGCAATTACAAAGAGATCAGCGAGTTCCCGGAAACTAAACCTACGACTTCTAATCACGTTTGACGCCTAGCATTTTGGCCATAATCCCGCATCCCTGTTAGACTTGCGAGTCTCGAATTGCAACAAAAATAGTGGATAATGAAATCTTATGAAAAAGGAGCTCTATTTTCAGGAGAGTTGGGCTATTGTCGATCCGATCTGTACACTTTTATTTTCTGTTATTGTGCTCTGCACTACGATCTACATTCTCAGAGATGCACTGGTCGTTTTACTTGAAGGTGAGTCTCTTGAGCCTTTAATTTTTATACATAATGTATAGCTCGTTCTGATCTTCTCACCTGAAATCTCTGGCCTTTGGGATATTACTAAAGTCGCATGTTTTCCATAGCGGTTCTTTTCGGGTTTTCCAGTCCTTTCGAAGCCTTCAGAGTTTTTGTCAAAAAAAGAGATCGACAGTCTGGAAAGACACGCATAAATGAAATTGCTAAAGTTATGACTATTATTTGTATCTTCCCGAAATGTTGGCATGGAAATTGATTGCACCTCCGCCCTTCAGGTAGACCTAGCAACATCGATTTCTCACGGGTCTTCAGTTCACTAGAAAAAATCGAAGGCGTGAAGAAGGTTCACGATTTGCGGATATGGGCCCTCACAATGGACAAGGTAGTCGGATGAATCGGGGCTTCTTTTTCTAGAATCGGAAGCTCTGAGAAGAGTTGAAGTCATTCAACAGGTATTTCGTACGTTTAGGTAGCCGTCTCTGTCCACCTCGAAGTAGCTCAACCACAGAATGCCCAATCAGTACTGCGTGACACAAGGACGATGCTAAATAGGGTCTATGGAGTACACGAAAGTACAATTCAAATTGAAGGTTTCATAGCTGAAAAGGATTGCGACCGCTGTGATATACCCAAATAAGTTTTCCTGTCTCAAAGGATGTTTCTTCCCGGATAAGTGAATCAAATGCGACACTAGCTCTGGCTGTAAAAATGGTTCTTCATTTTTGCCGCGGTCATTGTACCNCTAGTTGAGGAACCTCTCGTATTAGAAAACACAATTGTGAAAAACTTAGAAACATCCTCAATAGTTATGCCATTCAAAATTTTGCATGCCATAAGAATATCGAATTTTTTCCTTCTCCATTCAAGAGATCTCACACCTAGAGTCTTATTACGCTCAGTTCCACTAGGTATTTCTTTATATTATTACCTGATTCCTCTTGCAATTACAAAGAGATCAGCGAGTTCCCGGAAACTAAACCTACGACTTCTAATTACGTCTGACGCCTAGCATTTTGGCCATAATCCCGCATCCCTGTTAGACTTGCGAGTCTCGAATTGCAACAAAAATAATGGATAATGAAATCTTATGAAAAAGGAGCTCTATTTTCAGGAGAGTTGGGCTATTGTCGATCCGATCTGTACACTTCTATTTTCTGTTATTGTGCTCTGCACTACAATCTACATTCTCAGGGATGCACTGGTCGTTTTACTTGAAGGTGAGTCTTCTGAGTCTTCAATTTTATACATAATGATATAGCTCGT